TAATGTGAAATGGAATGTAACTTTCATAACTATGTTTTCATTCGTGTATAATCAACTGAAACTAAGAATCGTGTTTTTGTTACCTGAGAATGAACCGTTTATTGCACCGACATGTTTCTACAGTAGCCCAGAACGGACAAAACCAAACAGTGGCTCAAGCGAGAGCCTTTGGGGTTTTTTACGTTACCCAAGGGCCACCATAGTTATCTGACGTGCTTGGAAAGGGAGGGGTGGGCGGAGGGGTATTCAATTGGGTGCAATTTGCAACCTCACTGCTAGAAGCCCCTTTATTAAAGATCTGCTTCAGTAATCCTGCGGAAGGGAAAACAAACTGGTTAGTGGGTATTTGACAGTGTCTGACGTTCAATCTGCTGGGTCAATGTGATTCCTCCTGTGGGATCACCACTGCAGCAGTTTGCACAGGGCCATCTCAGGTATACACCCTTAGCTGACTCATCAGGTATAGGCATCTCACAATACGCTCCAGCCTGCAGCATGTTACAGCGTGGTGGGACTGTAGTGTCTGCCACCAACTCAAACTAGATTAAGGTCACAGGTTAGTATCCTCATCATTGATGTTATCATCCTCATCCTCATCATCATTGTCAGACACCTCATCCTCATCTCCCTGTCTCAACCTCAGTCTCCCACAGCCGAGTGGTGTAATTATAGTTGCAGTAAACCACTCAATGACGGGTATGGAGGGATGTGAAATTAATCACAGGTTTAGGGACGCTCTGGTCTGTCATCAATGATTACAGAAGCAAAAAAAAAAAACCCCCATACCATCAATTTTTCTAATAGGAACAAACTTCCTGGTCCATTCAAATGGAGGGGAGAACAGGGTTGGTTATCTCACTTTTGAAATTTATTTGAATCCCTCAAAAAAAAAAGGTATCCTCAATAGGTTCCCTTTCAATGTGTAATGTAAGCCTAAAGGGTCAGATAAGAATGAAACGGCTCTACTGACCTTAAGCTTCATCTGTTCAAAAGCTATGGGCTTTTTAAATCGTCTTGTACATTTGTTACAGCCATTCCCATCGTATATACACTATGGGGTTGGTTGTCTGTATGTTATTTTAAAGGGGGGGAAATAAATAAAATGGAGGCAATCTTAAAAATACATTAAAAAAAGTTTCCTTCCACATATCTCCTGCATCGAGAGAACACAAACTGGAAAAATTCCTTCTTATAAGTGCATTTTTTATCCTTATATCACAAGACAAAGAACAAAAGTACTCAACTCAGTCACTCACTATTAGTCAAAAATGACAACGGACTAAGCGGCTAAGCTAACAACCACATGTTGTAGCCTAGCTAAGAGAAAAAGTATCTAAACTTTAGCTCTACCTTCATTTTGTTTTATCAAGACTTGTTTTATCATAAACAAAGCTTGTGTAATGGCCTAGAAGAGAAACACAGAAGATGACATTCATATAGATATTTCAATTTTTACACAAAATACACTAAAAGTCCTCTCACCTCAGTGCCTTACTCCTCAAATGACCCTTTTGGGTGACCTCTGATCCCAATTCTGAAATACTGCCCTCTAGGGAGATCTAATGAGTGTGACAACCAACCCTGTTCTCCCGTAAACACTCGACAGCATTTGACAACACTATAACTGTGGACATATGTGCTGGGTATTCTGAAGGGTGATGCTCCCTCACCATAAACATGTACACCTCCATAACTGTTGGCTTGCCGCTTATATGAATTCAGGCACAAATTTATGCGGAAAGCTCACACAGCAGCTGTTTTGGTCCAATTTGATTGTTAAAATATGTCAGGTCAGTAGAAGCTGACTTATTGAAATGCGGTCTGTGTGACTAACACCTTGAACCTCGGCAGGCTTTCATAGCAATGAAATAATTCCCTCAGCACATAATGGTTCGAGGAATTCATCAGATTTGAGTCTTGTGGGCTTAATTATAACATAGCACACTTATCCTGTTGATTCAAATTACACAAGGCCATGACACTGGCTGACAAACCTGCATTAATAATGTTGGTGTGTGTGTGTGAGTATGCGTGAATGTTTGAGTGTGGAATAGAAGAGGGGTTATTTAGCATGCCTCTTTGCAGAAGCAATACTTTTGGCGATGGAGTAGAAAGACAAACGTCTATAATAGGAAGAGAAAAACAACAGAGACTAGCTGCTCATTTCTGGAGGCATTTTAATTGCTGGAATACAGCGCCAAAGCTAAAAGCGTCTCCACTGGCCTCCAGCGTGAGAAAATTACAGAAGCTGCTCTCTGTGACACCTATGAATCAATGCTGCAGGATTATTGTTGAAATATTTTGATGGTGTCCTACAGCAGTAACTTTTAAGTTGGTCTAATCTGTACAAATTCTTCTGTCCCTCACTTAACCCACTGTGGGTTTCAGACCGCTCAGCTGCAGCCAAAGGCCCCTCATGTAAAATCACTAAGCTGCAATTCCACCGACATCTCAGCAGCCCCTTTGACTTTTTTCAATCAATGAAAGTGTGTCCAGAGGGTCAGAAGAACCAGAAGTTCCTGAGGCTGCAGTATTGGCTGTCTGTGTCACAAGGGGTGTGTGATTGTGGGGCACTATTAAGTGACTTTCTCAGAAGCAGTTTCCCCCTTTGAGTGCTGAAAAAGGGACGTAAACAGTTCCAGCTCAATTGGAAGCCGTAAGATAATAAAGTTAAATTCGACACAGGCTGAAGAAAAAGACCATCCTGTGCTTCCCATTCATCCACTTCTAATCATGTAAACAAGTTCAGTTCTCTTCCATGTCTGTTTCAGTTTTACAGCCCCCCCGATTCCTTTCGCTTCTTTTTTCCTCTCTGTCTATTTCTACAGGGACCTCAAGGGGAAACTAACTACCCATGGCTCCCCTGATTCATCTGACTCATCTGTTTTTCCCACTAGTTTCCATCCATCTGATGATCCCACCTTTACTCCAACTTCAATTTAATGTCATTAAACAGTTGAACTATTTCCGATATCTAATAGACACTCTTTAACAGTCAACATGGCCAAGAAGAAGTGGGGCCTCATAAAAGACGCTCAGTTAAGAATCAAAAGTTTGAACATGCCAGAGAGTAAATATTCATAATTTCTTTCATTCTTCTCTCCCGTTTCTGGTCCTAAAATTCCAGCTTGAAACCATTTGGTCGTCGCCCACAGGAACACTGACCGAAGTGGGCTATATGGTCGAGTATACAACATTCAGCGTCGTCTATACCGCAGCATCAAAATACTGGCAGTCACGCTTTACTGCTTCCAGTGCTGAGGTTTCCCCAAAACCGCTCCTCTCGAGAGCCACTTCTCGCCACCAGACTCCGGGTCATTCATAGAATTCCACCCCTGTGGACCGAACTGGTCATGATTTTCCAAGGAATGGTCTGTTTGCTGTGATTGTGTCGATACTTTTGTCAGCAGAACAGACATACCACGTTATTTTGATATAAACCTTCTAGCCAACATGCTAAAACAAGGTCTTGCACCATGTTCATTTTACGAATGACCAATAAGCATGCTTAACAATATTTCGTTATAGAATGTAGCTATTCCAAATTTCTATGGATATTCACAGCATGCTGATAGTTTGGTGAACCCAAGCCATATGTATCCATCCACTATAGAGCGTCCATTTCATCCGTCACATTAACTCATCAGGCAGATAGATCTGATGTGAGATAATGCCTTTCACATATGGTCTTACTGTTTAGCAACCTCAGGTTACCATAGAGATCATCTCTCATAATGTAACAAGGTACATTTACTGTTAGGCCTTAAGGATAATATATCCAGCAAGGGTTTAATATGCATCTTTGGAGAAATGAAAGAGAAAGCTATGAACTCACACATTGTAAATCACCCTGAAGAAGAAGAAGCTAAATAGGTTAATAGTCATGTATATAAAATACCTTCATGTTTTCCATTCCCAGTTGTTTTGACAGCCCAGTAATAAATGGCCCCTCGTATGCACAACTTTCACAACGTGCAAGTGAGTAATATTGTTTTAAATGAGGGATGACAGTGGTTTTCAATACCGCCGCCAACGAAACTCCCACAAACGTTCCCATGGGTCCAGTCAGTGTTTAGTTCGTTATAAATACATGTGTTTATTTTTGTGGAGCGGCATCTATTCTCCAGCCTGGACACACTGAGGCAGCATCGGAGCCCTGATTAACCCCTCCTGAATCCTCAGCACTTGGTTTTAATTATTTTTGTTGCAAAAAAAAAGAAAAAAAGTCCAACGCAAAAGAAGTCGTGTCATGAATCAGTGCAGAGGAAAAACTGTAAATCTTTGGGCTTTGGTGCACAAGTGCTCAAATCATTTTACATTGTATACATTTGCATCCGTCTCTAAACTTGTGCTGGAACATTTCATTTACAATCCTTGATTCTGGATTATTCAGTTTCTGACTGTGAATTTTTCGAAATGTAATTTTTTTGGTGGTAACTTTTAGCATAAAAAAACCCCTACATTTCCATTCCTTTATTGAGCTGGGGTGGAAGCAGTTCTCTTAAAGATGGATATCTCAAAGCCTGGGCTGGTAAAAACAAATCTTTATGCTAAATAGCACCAAGTGAGAAAATATATTTGTTCTGTATTTTGGGCGAACATGAGAGCAGATGCTATAAGTCATCCTGGTGGATTCACTATGAAATAAACTTTGGATAACGAGTGGTAAATTAAACTAATGGTGCCCACCACACCTTGTTACAACACCAATTTAGAGTGTGTTGATGTGGGCTAAAAAATTGCATAATTTCAACGAAAAATTGCTTGCTATCGGAATTACAGTGAACTTGCCAAGAATATCTTGAAATATTGATGCTGCAACAACATCATCATCATCTTTATCTCATTTCTAAAATAGGGGAAAAGTTTTTTTTACCATCACCATCTATCAAGTACATGACACAGATTATGCTTCAAATCGTATCAACAATTTAGAAAGCCCGGTGTAATTCAATCATAACATCAGTGACATTAAATTAACAAATTAAAACAATGCAATATAACTGAATGATTATATCTTTATTTAAAATTCTCTGCTTTAGAGCCTATAGATATAATCTATACAAAAAAAAGCAAACAACGTGAATCATAACTACAAGTGGACATACTGTATAAACAGGAGATTGGCCAACCAGTGCGTCTACTTTAAGGCACAAATCCAACAAAGCATAACAACATTCGGAGCCACATGACCAGCTGAGAACTTCTGTGAAGCTGGAGGGGCATCAAACACCATGACGTTTCTAGAACCTCATTTGGGGGCTGTTAGTGTGGCTGCAGTAATACACAGATGCTTTAGATGCAGGGGAGCTGGAGAGGGGCTTGCACAGCACTTCACCGCAACCAGACCCAGCTGTTTCTGGTTGTAAATGTATGTTTTAAATGTGTAGAAGTCCCCAGGGGCCGAGGTTCACCATGGGGTACCCCACACCCAAGCCCCTAAAGTACCCCGCCTTTCTTTAGTCCCAGCTCAGCTTCGGGGCCTCACAATCACTACCAGGTGAGATTCTCTCTGTCTTCCTGTCCCCCCGCCCCCTTTCTATCAGGTTTGTGGTCTGTCTGATCTGGTGCGAGTCCTCCAGGGGTCCGCATTCTGTACAGGAGACCTTATTCACAAATTAACCTCATCTATCAACACAGGAAGAGGAAAGGGAACACAGGCGAATCTTTGAAGTGGGAATGGAGCAGCGCTACTAGCTTCAAAAACACAGTTGGGTATGTAACCCTTTATCATTACAATAGCCCTTTAAAAGCCCTGCCAAGGCATCTGGCTTATGTTTGGACCTGGAACTGGATCCGTTTGTGCGGCAACTCCTACAGCCACCAGTCTGAGAATCCGATGGCCAAAGCACACCGTACAGGGGAAATTAAAATGCACCTCCATGTGAAATGAAAACATACACGCATATATATATATATATATCCTTCACGCAACATGAAACATGTCTCATAGCATTCGTCTATACAGTATTTGTGGCTCATAGTGGCAAGCAGGGGTGATTGCACAAAAACCTTAACAGCGCTGGCATTTCCAACCTCGTAAGAGTAAATAAAGAACTTCTTGTATTTAAAATAAATTAAAACACCATTTTTGAAATGGTTGTCTCATCCTTCTTTGATTAATAGTATTTGAGAAATAAAAAAACACAATAAAACAGAAAAAAAGAAGACAGGATAGAGGCCAAGTTGCGTAATATTTGATTGGCAATATAGTAGTGGTACGACACGTAAAGTCCAACAGTAATGAAAGCTATCTGCATCAATAGTTTCTACCTCTGCAGTCCATCTCACACAGAGGAAACAGAAATCATTCACAAACTCCACAATTCAATTTCAAATTTTTTTTTAGGAAAAGCATCACTGCTGTGGAGGGTGAATTTGACCCAGTCTGGACATTAAATCTGCCCTTAAAGTTTAAGACTCCATATCCTTCACTTAATTCAGATTCAGACTAATTGGCACTGATGAGATGACGCAACAAGTCAGGTACTCATCTGAACACACTTGGGAAGTGATTTAACACGACACTAAGAATTATAGCTGGGAGTAGAAATCAACTTCTAGAATCAAAAGGTGTAGCGTGAGTCAAAGGTCACGACGAGCCGCTACAGCCGCTTTTAAAAACATTACATTCTTTGTCTGAGTAGATACGCAGACCTGTTTGTGCAGCAGTTAGGAGAGCTGGCAAAAATGTATCGTCAGCCAAGTTCAGATCACGCTGACCCATGTTGTTTAAGTTGATATACGCCTCCTCTTAAAGTAGCTTCGGGGTGGCCTGCAGCTGACTTTTTTTTAGTATGTGTGTCTTTTTGCCAACAGCGTGACATAATATGAGGAGAAACTTAGCTCATCTACTGTGAACCGGATGCCACTTCAATTACTTGGTATGATTTGCAACATTCTTCTAGTGTGTAGCCAGTTTAATGTGCACTAAAATGAAGCTAATCATCAAACTGTGCCTTTACCAACATTCATAAACATTCTTGTCTTTCGTCCATCACTACAAACATCTCTACATATAGAAATTAAAAACAGAAAAAATGTTAAAGCTACATTAAGCGATATATTAACATAAAATCAAAGAACTCCTGGTAAGTAAAATTCTTGCTGGTACTATGAATCCCGCTGAGAATCAACACCAACCTTCCCGTCCCACATCTCTGCAGTTTTTAGGCCGTTTTAGTTCATATAATCCATATCGGTGAAACCCAGCTGAGAACATATTTTTCTCAGGAGGTGGCATAAAGGCACAGAGGCGAGTGAATATCGTCAGTTGGTAGGAAAGGGCTCTCATTGGGATGCCCACTGTCCTCTGTTTGGGCTGTGTGTAACCTGTTTGCTAACACAAGCACTTATTTAGGCAATGGTATACCATAGCTTTGTCGCTGTGGGTTTGGAGTCTTTCGCTTAATGCAGCTTTAAGCACATGTGCTTCAACATCAACAATGATGTCTTCAAAACAATATGCTCCTCTCTCTCTTACAGGAGAAAAGGAGGTCATCATGGTGTCTTTCAGAGGGGGCTTAGGCACCTGGCGATTGGATGCCATCCCCTCAGTCAGTCCAGTGGTTGGGGAGTAGGTGGGGTGTGAGTGGTTGACACATTGGGAGGGAGCAGGGGGCTCAGAGGCTGCAAGCTATAGACCTGATCCCCAGCTTTACTCCATTCAAATAGACATACAAAGGGTTAGGGACGCTCTCGAATTTAACATATCACACTCATAGGACTTCTCACATAGCATCAGGAGTCTGCAGCAGGCAGCCTACAGAGTCAGGACCGCAGATGACCCCGGTTATTCCCTGATCTAAACACTGTTGAAGCCCCAGAGTTGGACCCTATCACACAGGTTTGAGGTCTGCAGGCTGCAGCCTCTGTTCCCAACAGCATCAGCCCCCTGTCACACAGGACCTGGATTGTGGCGATAGTTGTAATGGTTGCCGTGCTCGGAGTCTGCAATCTGCAGGCTGGGTTTCCTCGCTGGCTCTTCGTTATCAGCTGTGTCTTGCATTGTGCAACGAGGAGGACGCTTCTTATAGAAGTCTGACACAAAGTGCACCTGCAGAGGAGAGAAGGAAAAAAAAAAAAAGGAAGGAGAGGATTTTAGCTTTGGTCACTTATGGAATATTTTTTCCAAGAGAAATTGAAGTATAAGCATGTAAGGGATACAGAGGAGGTAAGGGCTGGGCTATAAACTGTGATTACATGTGTCTGGACAGGTCTATGCACAGCTGGTAAGTGACACACTCACACACATCTGAGAGGAACACACAGAGAGCAGGCACAACCCATGAAGGCCATAAAACACCATGCCCAAGAGGGTCTCCACTTGTGCATAACACCGTGGAGGCCAAAGGAGCGCGGTCACTTCCCTATCAATCATACATGGACACACACACACACACACACACACACACACACACACACACACGCACACGCACAAGCACAAACACACACTCCACCACTCCAGAATTTCCACAAGGCGGTGCCGACAGCGGCTCACTCAAAACAGGGAAGTGGCCAAACATTATATTAAGTGTGTTGGTTTGTATCAAGTCACACTTTGTTGCTGCCACACTCCACTCCCCTTTTTTTTTTTTTTTACTGCCAGACTGAAATTAAGCTGAAATATGGATTCTTCAGCGGCTGTTCCACTTTGAAAGGGAGTATCACTAACGAAAGATTTCCATTAAATGTCATTTTTTTTTAAAGACCTGGACCCACCCATGTTTGCTTTTCCTAAAGCCAGAAACCACAAGAGTAAGACTCAAAGTTCAGATGTCATCAGGTTTGAGGCTGGAGCTTCTTCACGGATAGTTAAATGTAAAAACACGCGGCCAGTATTTCTAGAGATAAGTTTTAAACTCTTTAGCTTTAAGCTGGTGTCATTTAATTATTGTTAGTAGGCCTATACCTCTCAAACTTTCTGCAAATTGCCAAACACTTACTCCCATTCACTGTATGAGCAACTCAGCCTCTTGATACCAGACCAGAAGTTATGACTGTCTAATATGGAAACAGCATGGAGGAAATCTTAAATCTTGCAACGTTTGTCCTTGAGAGAAGTTGCCGTGGAGACTCACATTGAGTACAGCAACAAGCGCTCCCTGCAGCAGCCCCACCAGCACGTCGCTCCAGTGGTGCTTGTAATCAGAGACTCGGGTGTAACCCACATACACCGCAAAGGCCACCAGGAAGAACTGGATGGTGGGCCGGAGAAGTCTGGCCCACTTAGCCACCAGTCTTGCCTGCACGTAAAGCTGTAGGAAGAGGAGCAGAGGGTGGTAGATCGATGGGCGAGGGGGAGAAGAGTCGGAAAAGAGAGAGATCAGGGGGGAGAGACTGTCAACTTGCTATTACACTGAAAAAACATGTCAGAAATGGTTTTGGTCTCCCTAAAAGGTCATCACACCATAAAAGATTAGGATAATGTAAATGGTGTTTGGAACCAACATCTATAGTATTTGCACTGACATCATAGTTATATTAACAGACTTGGGGAGTAATGGAATACATGGAACGCCGTTATGTTATTAGGATACAAACTGTATTCCGATAAAAAGAAAAAAGATCAGATTATCGATACATTTTATTTATTATTAGCAGGATACCAATTTTAAGACACATTTTACAATGAAGAAGAATACACTACGATGCACATGCCCACACATTACAACACAAGTCTCACACAATGGCCTCTATCGTTAGTGAAAAGGATGGTTTACGCACTTCATCAAGACATGAAACATACATTTGTAGGAAATGGGCAACCGCTTCAAAATTTGTGTTCCAGCAAACATAATACGGAACAAACCAGAATATTTGCATGTTCGTATTCCCAAGTTTAAATACGGCTAAACTAATGTGCCGAATGATGCCAGTCCTTGGATGATGTTGCTCCTCTTTTCCGCTTTACATACAAAATAATGACAACATTTTCCTTTTACTCGTCTTTATTTGCATATTTGGTAGTAAGTAACCATCCCAACCCTGTATATGCTGACAAAGCAGTGACGTAATGCAGCAGTCACATTTCTGTTTTACAAGTTATCTCTGTATTTGCTTAAAGAGATAGCCCGCTGAAGGTTTCAAGGTAGATGCTATCATACTCCAAATACCAAAAACAGAGAAGTACATTAATTTGAAGCTCTCTAATGCAAAAGCTGTGGCTGGTATGTCTCAAACTGGATTTAACTGTAACGGGGTGTTGCGTATGAATCAAATAAATGTCCACTGTGGACTGAAACCGCTTTTCTTACTGGAAAACAGCAGACGCCAATAATTATGGACCTGGCAACAGTAGACTTCTCTGGGCTTCTGCTGTGCTGCTGTTGAAGGTGCAAACATTGGCACCACACTACAGTCCCCCCCCCCCCCCTCGTCACACAGTCACACTCTGCATTGAACACTTCAGGACATCACAGCCCAGCTCTGTTGGCAGCATTTGCCTGGCAAAAGAGGTACTGACGGGAATGGACACTGTATTCCGTCTGTCCTTTCAAATGTTCTTTGAACTGAACAATGTTGCTTTGCTTGGCCTCGTGAAGCTTGCTGTCTAGCACTGGTGCCTGGCTTTCAACACAAAGAGATGAGGCCAAGGGTAATGAACTGGACAGGCCTGGAAGACAGACAACAACACATGCCTTGCCTTCATCATTGCTGGGAAAAAGGCAGCCGAGGCCTCCTGGTCATTTCTCTTAGTGTCCACATTCTTTCACTGAACTCTTGCCTTGTCCTTTTACGGCCACATGCACAAACCGCCTCTATGAGCCTTTTTTATTTAGCCCTCAAGTACGGATCCAAATGCACAAGCCTGTCATCGGATGAGTCCATCTGGGGACTGTTATGCCTGAGTCACACAGAGATATTCGTTTCCTCGTTCACCGTACATAGAGATGCGTATTTACACTGTGTTTTAAGACTTTTAGTCATGGATTGAGGCTCACATGCTGTACTTACCGCTAGGAAGAGCATGCAGTACATTCCAAAAGAGGAGTGACCGGAGTAGAAGGACAATCTGGTGAAGAGAAACAATCAAATCGAATGCGTCACACAGGATATTCAAAACTGACCAATTCTGTTGGCATCATTATCGTGTAAACGTGTTAAGAATTCCACCCCCAGACAAACATCAGTATGTGATAATAAGTGTTACATATTTTCATCTCTAAGCATAATAATACAAGTCTGCTACAATAATCAGGGACGCACCGATACCGATATGGGATACCGGGCTGATGCCGACTCAAATAGCTGGATCAGGTATTGAGACAATAAAGCTGATGTATTCAATTCAATTGTATGTTCAGATACTTATATATATATATATATTATATATTAGAATTTGAATTCCTGTTTAAGTTTTGACCAAATTGTTGCTGGTATAGGATTTGCATCCCCAGCTATATTACTGGGATCTCCTCCTCCTACCTGGACTCTGTGACGTCATGAGGCTTGCCAGTGCAGTTGATCAACTGCACGTATCCCGTGCAGACCTTAGGGGCACACACGTCCATGAAGTTCGGTCTCGGGCGGCCGATGGTGAACTTGGCGAGGTCGGTGAGCGACTGGCTAACAGAGGCTCCAAACAAGAAGGTGCCCACTACCTTGTAGAGTGCAGCTACGTACTGGTTGAAGTCAGAATTTGAGTAAATCCTCTTGCTGTAGACCAGATAAGCCTCTCCCGAGGAGATCTGAGGGAAGAGGGAGAACAGTGAAAAGAGTTTTCTTGAGGCCATGATCCGATCCCCCCCCCCCTCCATTTTTAGCATCATTACAATTATTAAGTCGATGAAGTAAAACTTACAATGATGACGGTGCAGGAGATGGTGACAGCCGCCAGCATGCCATGGGTGATGGTGTCTGGTTTTAGGGGGTACATGATGCTTTCGTCGTCACAGTAAACCCCTCTTTGATACGGCTTGAACATGATGGTCATGACGATGAAGGGCAGTGCCGCTGTAGCCACAACAAAGCAGAGAAACAACAGTCTGATTAGACAGGTTGGATTCATCCACTGTAGTTGGAGAAATTCAGCTTTCGGTGAAATAAGATGAATGCATTGGTCACAGCCAAGCTTATAACTGGGCATACAGACCATGGAACAAGGTCGATCCAAGTTAATGCACATCACTATTTGAGAAGAAATGTTTTGGAATAACATATTTGTGCCCTTTCAGACATGACATCATTTAAAAAAAAAAGCTGGGAAGTGAAAATGTTTCTGTAAGGACAGCCAAATTGTTTTCTCTCTCCCTCTGGACCTCAAGGTCTAAAAACATAAAGATGAGAACAACCCACAAGGAGAAAAAAAACATTCAGTAGTAAAATGTCAGGGTGGAAATGCGCAGCAGGGAATTGCAAAAATAAACAGTACAAAGTAATATTTATATGCACAGGCATGTGGGCATATGTAAAAAATCAAACATCAGAAACATACACAAGAGCGCACACACACTTCCAAGACTGTACACAAATTACTGCAGACACAACTGCAGCTCTTTTGAATGATGTGGCTGTGTGCAAAAATAAGACCAAATATAGCTGCTCAAGGCTCCCGAGAGCACGAATGTCCTTGAGATGTTCGGAGACATCCATCCCAGAAATACCTCTTTCTCTCTCTGGCATATGCGCATTCACACTCACTTCACTGGAGTCTGTTGATGTACAAAGGCGCATGCTCTTTGCAAATGTGTATTGATAAACACATGCTAATTAATACATTGTGTAGATGCTCTTTTGCGCTTCCTCTTTAAAGTCAAACTCCTCTTAAATTAACTGAAGGGAAATCTGGTGACAAACAACAACTGTTTTAAACCCACTGAGGATATACAGCAGAGAGGTGGACTATGGTAGTTTGACAAGTTCTTTCGGATGTTTTTTTTCTTCTTTCCAGCAGTGAAAACCTTTCACCACAGGGATCCACTGTGGACCATAACCTCTAACTTTTTACTACCCCTTTTAAAAGACTACAATGGTGACCGTTTCATTATCACGAGATTTTGGTGTGGAGTAAGACTGTCGTAGATACAGTGTGCGTGTGAAAGACCTTACTTGATAAACAGAAATGGACAATTTATCATTTTAGTCAAAGTTTACTTAAAGCTGTCTGGTCGCTTGTGATGGATATTTGTCATTATCTTTGACATTTCACACATAAAAAGTGTAAAACTTAATTGATTGCATTGCAGCCCTACTGAGGAATGTGCTCTCCAGCCTGATATCCACTACCACTGTCCATAATAGGCAGACAGACAGTCTTGAGGCCACTGTGGAAATGCCATACACCCACATACTCAACGCAAGAAAAACAGCCGTGAAAAAACACTGCACACACTTGAAAAGTGCTGTCACCAATAGTATTACATTTCTGTGTAAATGAGGAGTGCACCCCTCCCATTCTTTAAAAAGCAAAAAAAAAAAGTCTGCAGCTGACATAATTCCAGGAGGACTTCCAGCGAGACTGACTGATGAGAGACCAAGAGTCCACATGCTGAAGACTGAGACTAAAAGGAAAATATACAATTGGATGGTGGATCAGGATTCAGCTGAGGTGAACACTCTGTAACACCGAGTTCAACTCCACCCTGAAACAAATGTGAAGCGACAGCCTACTGTAAATGTTTCAATACTGACAAACGAATGGCATGTTTTTCCCGATTGCTGGAGGAGCGGGCTGAGCGGTTCAAAAAGATGTGAAGAAGGATGTGTTACATGTTAATGTGACACTAAAACCGTTGCTCAATCTGAGAAAAAACAAAAAAAACATAGGCACACCATTATGACTTAAATTGTCTGTAATAAACACCGGACTGAATAATGAAGCAGAGGAATTACCCTAATAAACACCAATACACAACGACACCTGTACAAGGACACGCAGTGTGTCTCACTCGTGTCCGACATCGCATCAATCCAAGGTGACATGAGACGAGTACGGACATTGTTTAGCTGCACACATGTTCCTCACAGACACGATAAGACAAAGAGTGTTATTGGCTCAGTGAGTAAGGGCAGCGGCAAAATAGAAGCTTTGTGTTGAGAGGAGAGTAAACAGTAGCGCTCTATAGGATAAACACATGATTGCAGATGGACTCCTGGTGACCCGACCTTGGAGGAGCTGAGTTTAAACCAGACAAACAGGGAAGGAAAAAACACAAATAGAGAGACCAATGGATTTATACACGGAGAAGCTCTAATCTTCTCAGAGAGGAGGAATCTCAACTCCCACCTTGAATATTTCAACACAAGACGTTGAAGTAAAAAACAAACCCGCCTTATCAGCCAAAATGGCCTTCAGTTTTGACAGTTTACCGCACAAAACGGACATTTTGTTGGTGAAATGCAAAATAACAAAAAGAGCCAAACTAGCCATTTCCAATTTTTAGACTAAGCTAAGTTAACCGGCTGCTGGATAAAGTCTTATTCCACATTTTGTCCTCTTAGCACCACCAACATCCTGTTTGGTGACATAACTAACATCTTGTCTCAGGGAGCTCAGGGGAGGACCCTGCTATGAATTTACTGATGGAACTTTTGGTTACAGGCATGAACGCGGTGTTAATCTTCTCATCAAGCTCCAGAAAGTGAATATGCATACTCCCCATACTTGCTTTAACCAACACATGCAGTAATATAAATATTTTACGAATTTTAGTACAGGCAATTTCACCAACCGACGCCTGTCCAACGCATGTACTCCACCTCCCCGCTCTTTGTCTATAAGCCCTCGTCTGTTTGTGAGCAGCAGCAGCAGCTGGAGGACACCTGTCCCTGCACAGCGACTTCCCACAAGCCACCGACCACCAGACGCCTACTGGGTCGCTGTTATCACATTTACCAGCCAGCCATGTCAGGACGTGTTAAATCGGGTGTATAAAGTCTTATTTCACATATTTTCCTTTTAGTGCAACCAAAATCCTGTTTGTGACAACCACAGCACAATATATGTTCTCGTGTATTTAACTAACATCCTGTCTCAGACGCCTCGGGGGAGAAACCCGACATGAATTTACTGACGGTGGCAGCTTCTGCATCTGTATCCTGCTTCCTGCTTCCAGCTGGCAAGAGACCTTTCCATCTCATCATCACCTCACCAAACTGATAGAGTGTCATTACAGGAGTTATTACGACGACTATAATGTAAAGCACTGCATCTCTATCTATAACTGCTTGGTCTTTAAACATATTGAATTTTCAAAATATGATCTTAAACATTTCCAGACTCCTCATATATCCACTATGGACCCAAATTAAATTCACACACACAGCATGTCAAATATGCTATTTGTTAACGTAATATTATCAGACATGAAAATAAGTGTTGTTCTTTGGGGTTGGAGGGTTGAATCTATTGAATATTATGTCAGCCAACACCAACTGTTCAAGCCTAGTGGAATGTTTACATTCAACACAGCATCAAAAAGCAACTGGAACCGCTAACAAAAGTAAAGGAAAGACTTGCAATGTAACACATATCAATACTACACAACAGCAAGTTTTACAGGTTGGACAAAGTCACGGAAAAAGTGTATTTACTTCATACAGCATGGTGAATGTCACTTTAAAATGGCAGGAGGACATAATCATTTCTAGTGATGTGGTACAGCGACTTCAAACTGTTTTATGAAGCTTTTAGCACTTGCCAGAGCGAGGCCATTTATCACGGCAGAGCGAGAGAAAAATTAAGTGAAAATCTTCAAAGGGAGGTGCCACAGGCTAATGAAATATACCACCTTCTTCAACCTAACGAGCTCACAAAAGGCCGAATTGCTGTTGCGTGTACACCAACGACATTTTACAATTACATTCGTGGGTGTCATTTGTATTTATCTGTTTAGTCATATGCTAAAGGTTTTAATGAGTCTCTTTTGCTGTTACTAAATCCTTGGATTTTGCCAGTTTGCCACACATTTCATGGAATGAGTGAAGTCAAAACACCTGGCCTTAAATGACCCTCCCCTGCCTTGTAAAAAAAAAAAAAAAAAAAAAAAGGGAATTTTTCTTTTCTGTGCTCATAAATGAAACACTAATTTAGCTTGACACATGACTTTAACTTGATAGTCATAAATTACAAGAAAAATAAAAGTGCTCAAATAAAATGGATTGCCGTCATGGGCAGAATGTGTGGTACATCCTGCGGTGAGCGAGTGTGTCTCATGAGCGGTGCCTCTGATCATATCTGCAAGGAACAAACCAGCCACTCTCTTAAAAAGCAGACACACATGCTGAAAAATAGACCCATCGGCAGACAAAATAGGTCTCTGGGATACCACGAGACAACCCCACGACCCAAACTGACACTGCTCCAGAGCTGGTGGAGGTGTGTGGGGGGGGGGTACAGGAGAACCTTCTCTTTAGACACCTGCTTTTTTGGGATGGAGGCAGGGAACCGCTGCCAGCCTGGAATGTAGCCAGGAAGCTAATCTGCCAGTCACTCAAAAGACTCCTGCCTGAGCCCCGAATGGGAGCCTGTTTGGAGTCGCAGGAAGCAGAGCTCAAGCTTTCCTGTCTCAGACTAAGAAAGACCCATTTTAGAGGAGAGGCTTTGGTTCCATTCTGGGAAGTTTTAAGGCTTTTCATTCACCCATAGTGGCAGCTCGGTGTCTCCCCCTGCTGAAGTGGGCATTAGTGGGCAACAGAGAGCCGAGTGATTGATGAAGACTGCGTGTCAAGAGGAGCATTTAAACAGTCAGATGAGCGTCACGGAAAAGTTCAGCATTAATTGATACCACGGACAAACAAAGATGCCAGTGAGAGAAGGGATATGCTTTCCTCCATTCCTTCCATCACTGCTGATTCACATCCTCCATTCTGCTCCCTCCCTCCCTCCCTCCCTCCCTCTTATTCAAAGTCATTCATTCTTCTCTCTGGAGCTGCGTCTCTCTGTCTGTCATTCTCTTGATGGCAGCGTCCTCCCACACACTTCTCCTTCTGTTGTAAATATAGAGGTCTCGATG